CCTGTTTTGTATTTTCCAAATTGGAGTCCTCAACTTACTACAAATCGTGATGGACAACAGTGAAACTATCATTGCTGCAGCTGCAGTTATTTTGTGCAGTGACAACAAACTAATTGAAAAAGTATATTTAATTGTATGTTTTATATTTGTAGTTATGTGTGGTGATTAGTGACCATTAATCGATATTTATTTAGAAATCGTGAGATGCGGTCTGGTGTGATGTAGGTTTCAGAAAAACATTTTCTTTATCGTGCCAACGTTTCGATCTTTATTGAGATCATCTTCAGGGCCTGGGATTTACAAACATTGTTTACATATTACTATTACATTTTGGAGGTGGAAAAGTGAATTTATACAATGCAAAATATATTTTTTATATATTCAATCAAAGTATTTCTACTCACTCAAAGTGTTTGGCTTCTGTGTAATTGTGCCATTCTTGCGTGTCGTGTCGAGAGTGCCAGTGAGATTTTGTTATTTTGTGTTTATATACGGTGGATTTTGAAGGGGTGGGGATAACATACCTATATCATCAGATTAGATTCCACACATCAAACATTTTTCACATAGTCTAATTTCCCAACAATTTAGCTTTCCCTTTCCTATTTATCCCTTTCTATATAATCCTGAAAGGATAATCTGGCCGAACCATTACCAACACATTGTTTCTCTTCGTCGGCTCTTTTCAGCTCAAAGAAGCCGACGCCTTATACAAAAATGTCTTTTCTATACCGACATCCTTCCCCACCCTTTTCAAATTCCACGTTTTTTAACCCCAAAATAGCAAAATCTCACTGGCACTCTCGACACGACACGCAAGAATGGCACAATTACACAGAAGACAAACACTTTGAGTGAGTAGAAATACTTTGATTGAATATATAAAAAAAATATATTTTGCATTGTATAAATACATTTTTCCACATCCTACATGTTTTTGTTAAATTTAAACAATGTTTGTAAATCCCAGGCCCTGAAGATGATCTCAATAAAGATCAAAACGTTGGCACGATAAAGAAAATGTTTTTCTGAAACCTACATCACACCAGACCGCATCTCACGATTTCTAAATAAATATTTGTAGTTATGCTTTATTTATAAAACAGTTTATGATTTGTAAGAGAAGCTTACCAAAATATTGGTTCTGTTTCGTAAACATAGAGGAATACCAAAACTATTGAGTTGGGCCAATCCATTCCAAATAAAATTATTGTTATTGTGTAAATTAATACATCTATACTAATTGGGAATCGTTTTCAAATTAAAAATAAATACCATTACATAGAAGTATATATACACTTACTCTTGATTTTGATAACAGTTGACAGTTGGTCAAAGGTATGTACAGTTATAATTGATTCCCGAATGTGTTTATGGTTTGAGTCGGTTACTTCACGAATATTCGTGCCCTTTGAATCGGGCATGAAAACGGACAAAAAGCCGAGCACGGCAAGCACCGGATGTTGTTATTCGGCGTTCATCCACACTAGTCAGGATTCGGCTAAAATTTGCGCTCCATTCCGGGAATACCGCATGTCTTAAGACTTTATTCCAGGTGGCTTGAAAGGTTATAGGGGGAAACGGAGGAAATGGGATATCAAGGTTTTGTCCTACTTGTGTTCAAGTATTCTGGGTTTGAAATGAGTTTCGAAAAGTTCGGCCTTGTCCCCTTCGCTCCTGACTTAGGTAAATTGATGGGGGAGTCAACTGTGCGATATTTTAATACTTTTGTGGCACCGAACCAGAGTGAGTTATCATGTGTGGAAAAAGATTCAAGGAATTTGCTGTACTGTGTCGAGCGGTAGTTAAAGAGTTGTGTACGTAGAAAATCAGTTAAGCCTGAATGTTCGCCTATTGGATGGATGGCGGGATTGTTCTCAGCACTCTCAACACGACACACAACAGTGACACATCTACACAGAAAACACACACTTCGAGCCCTGAAGATGATCTCAATAAAGATCGAAACGTTGGCACGCATCTCACGATCTCTAAATAATCATTAATTAACAGTAACTAAATACTACACGTTGTTCTCAAAGACTTCCGACTTGACGTTTGGCCTTTAGGAGAGAACGGATACCATTTGGAAGAACTTGTTTGTCTCGTGAATAATGCATCTTAGAAGGGTATGAGTATTGTAGGATTGAACGCTCGATATTGGTGTTTAAATGTAGTAATGAATTTTTTATGCCGTTTGTTGTTTTCATTACAGCATTTAGGTTATCTTTGAAAAAGCTTCCGGTCAACTAGGGCCTGCAAGAGGGACGGTTTTCTTGGTTTAGGAATAGAGTTATATTTTACTTGAGAAAAACTTCGGAATGATAAGATATTTTCTTTAAATTAGGCTTTATCTTACGTTAACTGATTTTTAGTGTAAAAATAATTTTGGATAGTTGCTAATGAGAACAGGTTAGAAAACTAAATGGGTAGAACTGGCCATTTGAAAATATGAATGGTGAATTATTATTTATTTTTACTGAATTATTTAACCGTTAATAACCGCGAAATCTACTTGAAATTGATATCTAAGGAATTATTTTCTAAAAAAATTATCCAATTTTTAAAAAAGTAATTGTCTACGCACTTCTTTGTAGTGCACTTCAAAGCAATGCCGATTTAAAACAAATCACGCTTAAAGATGATAGGAAGGTACCCCATTAGGTTTAAATTTGGATGAAATACTCTCAGTTTTTATATTTCAGTAAATTTTGTCTGCCTTGATAAAGTATTGATTTGCTCCCATTCATCGAAAAAAGTTTTTGCTTTCTACCTGTTGAGTTTTAAGAGTGAAAAATACCGTCAGAGACCTTCTTTATACGGTCTGGTTGTACTTTGCTTCTGTCTTCTAACAGTTCAAGTATTGAATCAAATACCTACAACAGTCTAATATTCATAACTTTTTATCGATGTAGATTATCAACCAGCTAATTCAATGCTCTCAGTTATCGGGGTTGTGGTCAAGATAAACAGCAAGGTTTCGTTTTATTGCTAAGCTTTCGACTGTGCATTTAGTCATTCTCAAGGCTCTAGAATAACAAAATCGATTAACAATACAGTAATTCAAGAAGAAATAAACATTTCTTTCGGACTTACAAAAACAATATCTTAAGTTTATAAATATTTACGAGCATACAAAAACGTTACAAGTAACGAAATAAATGCATGCCTACCTTTATCACAATACAATATCACCAGAAGAAAATAGCTGACCAGTTCTTACTTACAAGTAAAAATTTTTTATAACGTTTTGTAATTCTCTTAATTCTTATGTAGAATAGTATATAACCGTTTTGACAAAAACTTTAAGATTCAAACAAATGAAACAGTGCAGACATATTTGATTTAATAATAAGTATTCGGAGATCGTGAGATGCGTAGGGTTTAGAAAAACATTTTCTTTATCGTGCCAACGCTTCGATCTTTATTGAGATCATCTTCAGGGCCTGGATTTATAAACATTTATAAATTTTACAAATACATGTAGGATGTGAAAAATAAATGAATTTATACAATGCTAGAAAATTTTGAATGCAAAAAAATGAATTTTTACAATGCTAGAAAATTTTAGATAAAAAAATGAATTTATACAATGCTAGAAAATTTTAGATTAAAAAAGAATGAATTTATACAATGCTAGAAAATTTTATATTAAAAAAGGAATGAATTTGCTAGAAAATTTGTGGTTTAAAAAAAGATTGAATATATACAAGGCTATAAAACTTTAGATTAAAAAAATTGAATTTATATAATCCTAGAAAATTTTAGATAAAAAAATAAATTTATACAATGCTAGAAAATTATATAAAAAAAGGAATGAATTTATACAATGCTAGAAAATTGTTGGTTTAAAAAAACAATGAGTATATACAATGCTATAAAACTTTAGATTAAAAAAAATTGAATTTATACAATCCTAGAAAATTTTAGAATCAATAAAGGTATTTGTACTCACTCAGTGCTTGTTTTGTGTGTAGATGTGTCATTCTTGAGTGTCATGTTGAGATTGCCAATGAAATATTGATGTTTTAGGTTTATATACGTTGGATCTTGATGGTTGGGGATGGAAGTAGGGAATAGAATGATATTTTCATATGAGGAGTCGGCTTCTTTGAGAGGTGAAGAGAGCCGACAATAGGAAAAAATGGGTAATGGTTCGGCCTGATTATCTTTTCAAGATTATATAGACGGGGATAATTAGGGAAAGGAAAGCCAAATTGTTGAAGAGTCAGACTATGTAGAAATGTTTGATGTGTGGAATGTGAAGATTTTTTTACATGTTGTATTATATGTTTTGTGTGATGTGATGATGATATATGTATGTTATTGATATTGAATTTGATTAATGATAATAGCGTAGCTGCGACTGAGTTTACATGTGTCTGTTCTGTAATCGATGCTGTGTTTATCTATGTTGATGTAAACAATTTCTAAAAAGTTACGTTTCTGTTTGTTTTGTTCTGTGTATAATATTTTTGGATTGTTGCCGTCAAAATTGTGTTTGTTGTTTAAGATCGTGGGTATCCAGTGCTGTAGGATTTTGTTTCGGTTTTTTGCAGTCATAGATATGTTGCTTTACACTCTTATCAAGATGTTGGGATATTACAATGTACGTTACCGGATAGTTCAAACAATTGATTTTGTAGATTACGCCAGATTTATTTGTTATTGGTGTCGGATCTTTAATTTTGGAAAAAATGTGTAAATTGTTTTATAGTTTTTGAAAGTTATTTTAAAGCTATCAGAAGCGAGATATGCGTTTAATTTATGTGAAAGGGCGAGAATGAATGGCATGGATATGTATATTGGTTTGTCTGTATTTGATAGATTTGATGTAGTATTATTAGTAATAGCACAGGGAGTTAGTGTTGAGTTGTAGTTGTTAATTATTCTGTTGATTATGTGTTTAGGTTGTTATGTATTTAATGTTAACGTTAGTTTAATCATAATCACTTTAATCACTTTTAATCATAATAATTTTAATTATTTTCTGTTTTTAGGTTGTATCAGCTAGATTTATCATCGTTTCTTCCACTGTAAGTATTTATTAACATTACATATTTTGTTGTTACGTTTTATTTTTGGAACCGCACTAGCTGAGTGGTAAGAACGTTTCTTGTCCCATTGACGACGCAGTAATGAGTTCGATTACGACTGTCGGCTTTGGAATTTTCGACCTATTAATGAAAACACGGTCTAAGACTCGGCTAATGTGGCAAACACGAGGCCGAAAAAGAAAAAGAAATCAAATTGCAAAAATTTTCTATTTATATTGCACGCAATGAGACATTAAATGTCAATAGATGTTTTCAATTTTCAAAAAATTGTAAGTTTTTATGATGCTACTATGAAATTTGAAAAAAATTAAAAAAAACACATTCAGGTAATTCATTAAGCAAGAGTGATACAAATTATAATTATTTAATAAAGTGAAAAACAAAAATAGCCGTTTTACAATTTGTGATATCAGGTTGCCCTGGAAAACGAAAAACCTTACGTTATCTCAAAAATTGATATTTGATTAAATGCACTGAACCTTAAAAATAATTAAGGTTGGATCAATTGGTACTGATCAACACTTATAAACTGCATAGGTTTACAAACTGGCCTCCAAGTCCAGAACGAAGTGTTACAATTGGACTAGTGCATATAATAACGAACCCAATCCACTAACCGACTTCGGACTTTGAAGTCAGGGCCATAAAAGGATCGATGATAACAGAAAAAGTTGATAAATGATGAGCATCTGAGAGATTTATTTGCCTCTTGAAGTGCATAAAGTAAATCCATTTTCAAACATCATTTATCAACTGAAATAAAAATAAACTTTCTTAAATACCCCAAAACAACATTATGTTTTCAACGTAAATATTGAAAATATAAAATATCATATAGAATTAGGGCCGAACTTAACAGAGGAAGTATCGAATGATGACTCTGGATGACTCTGTACTGTAAACTTTCATACAGTAGAAACAATCTCGGTACAGTGACATACCTATTGACAGCATTCTGCCATGTACAGAAACGAAATTACGTATCTTCGGCAAACTTGTGAGCAGATTTTGTCAACAAACGTTTGGACAATTTATTATTTAAACACACTAAATTTTATGGGATGTTCCTTGCCCCCAATATATTCTTAAAGTGTGTTTAAACATCAAATAATGTAATTTTTAGAACAAAAGAACAAACTTTGATTGCTGATGAAGGTTAAAACAGATCCATGAATTTACGTTTACAAATCGAAATGCAATGATAGAAAAAGTTGGTTTAATTATTTGACATTTATGAGTTAATAACAAATATAGCGGTTCGCTTGACCAATTAATATATTACAGTTAATTAAGGTTTTTAGTTGAGATAAAAAAATGGCGTATCTAGCAGAAGATCGTGGGTTCGAATCCCGCTGGTGCCATTAACTTTTTTATCTCAACTAAAAACCTTAATTAATTATAGCAAGTCTAGTTAACAGTTTTGAGAGGTTATTTCTATGATGACTGAATTATCAAATTGTTTACATCAACATATGAACAAACTTCCTGGGAAACTAATTTATCAAGTATTTTTTCGAACAATTGACTGAGGGAACTTTTTTTTAGTATTGGAATAATAAAAGACAGTTTCTATTTTTCTGGATAAATTCGTAATTCTAACGACTAGTTATAGATACGAGATGAAACGTGACTTATTTCAGACTTAATTAACTTTAAAAAGGTAATAAATATTTGATCCTGACCAACCGATTTGTGGATGTCATGTTATTTTTGTATTGAAGACAGATTTTGCTGTTATATGAGAAAAATTATGTTAATTCCTTTGATCATTACCTTAAATATTCAATAATATGATATAAGATGATAATATAAGGGCACTCTCAACACGACACGCAAGGATGGCACAATTACACAGAAGACAAACACTTTGAGCCCTGAAGATGATCTCAATAAAAGATCGAAACGTTGGCACGATAAAGAAAATGTTTTTCTGAAACCTACATCACACCAGACCGCATCTCACGATATCTGAATAAATATGATATAACATAAATGCATCTAAGAGAGGGAGGGAGAGGGAGGGAGAGAGAGAGAGAGGGAGTGAGAGAGAGAGTACGTTTGTTGTGAAGTTTTGAGATTGCACGGGTTCTATGTAAGGAAAATTGTGCAGCGTGGATAATATCGTAAAAAAATCTAATTCGATCGTTTTCACTTGTTTTGACCGCGGAGAATCGAATGACAGCAACTCTCGGAAGGCTGGTAAAGAAATGAAGTGCTACACTTCATCCAATCATTTCAGCAGGACATACTAATGGACGCTGACATTAGATAACTTGGAATGGAAGCGATAGCACTTTGCTAACTCACTTTTCTGATACGATCGCCTCTCAAATAAAGTCCGAGCACAAGGGAAGCAATCCAATAAAATTCCCTGTCCTCCGGATCGATTGATTTCTCCGGCAACGGGTAAATCCGGACATACAACAACTGTCTGTCCCGCGGCTAATTTTGTTCTGATAACAAGGTGGGTTGCATTGTAGAAATGGAGAAGGATTTCAAAATCCTCCGTTTTAGGGGGGAAAAAAGAAATAGAATGAAACGGGCCTCATTCTACGCCGACCTAACTAGTCACAATGGGAGATTACCTCTTCTGTATATACAATAGAGTACTTACGATTAAATACAATCCGGAACGTGTTTATCAGGTTTTCCCCGATAAAAAAAATGTTTAAGCCGTTAATCTAAATTACAAGTTAACAATTTTTTTACACAAGGCTAATCATTTTTTATTTATTTTCCGAGTGTTCGCAACAGCAGAGGTCATATAAACACTCAGGGTACCGATGTTAAAAAAAAGCACATTTGTAAGTATGTCGTTTTGTAAGGTAAAGGTCCCGGGTTCGAATCCAGCGGCCCGGCATGAGCGCCGTGTCCACGGCTAAACCGTTGCGGCCAACGACGCGCCAAATTTCATGTTGTAAACACAGGTTTAACACCATTTATGTGCATTACAGTAAAAATAAAGAAGAATGAAACTTCAAGTGGAGTTGCTATTCAAACACACAGATAAATTTTGAAAATGAGCTTCCCAAAAATTACAATTTAAATAAATTGGCAATATATAATATCTTTTGAGCGAAGACAACATAGACCACGTCCTTACCGTCAATACTGGCGAAACTAACCAGACTCCCAGGCAATGCAGACCTAATACCATAAATTTCACCTCCAATAGCTCTGCCAAACTTGGAACTTCTGTGAGCTGCAATACAATGCAAATTAAAATCAGCGAAATATCTTTTATAAAAATCAAAATTCTCTTCTGTTAAAAAAGTTTCCACCAACAAAAAATATCAAAACTTCTAATGAAATTTAAAAAATGAGAATCATTTACTTTACTTTTAATACAAGCAACATTATGATAGATTATTTTTCAATTTAATTGAAGGAGCAGGACGTGTTTAAGAACTCTGGCTGACGGCGACATCTCAAGATGTAAACTTAGGACGAATATGATCAGACGCTGAAGGGGGGGGGGGTTGCAGGCTGCGATGGAAATCTGGAGAAGTAATCGGCTGGAAGAGAATTTGCCAGTAAGGCTTTCATCAAATCTGAAAGGTCCAATCCTAGTAACTCCGTCACCTTTTTCACTCCGTCCTCCTTTCCACCTCTAATGAGTAGAGAATCATTAAGTAAGGATAATTTTTCGGCAGGGCTTCTACGCAAGATTTCTCTTCTTAAGAAAATAAGTTTAGAGCGCTTTTTTTTTTTAGTATATAGATTCATTTTTCACCTTCACTTCAAAAAAACAATGTGCAATAAAGCAATAAATTGAATTTTACTAACAACTGGGTTAAGTACGTATTTGTATTTTTGTAATGTATTTATATAAAATGTGTTATGTAACTCTGTTCATGTATTGGGTTGTCCGGAAAATAATGCAGGATTTTGGTATTAAACAAAAAAAAAGAAACTAGTTACTTTAAAGCAATGTTCTTTAATCAAAATAATTTCCCANCATACAAATGAGTAATCCTGTAAACGTAAACAGAATATTTTATATAGATTTTTTTTAATGAAAACTTAAAATCCTGCATTATTTTCCGGACAACCCAATAAATTTTGTTTTTTAAATAAATTAGTCTCTGATGATGGCGGAACATTCGCCGAAAGCTTGGTGAAACCCAATAGTGATGTTCTTTATTCACCTGTTAAACCTCAAGAAAATCATATAGGTTAATCAAATTTAAAAGACAAATTTGATTAAATCAATAATCATTAAAGAAAGCAACAATGGCTTCTTTTTTATCATTGTGAAAAATATTTTGTTACATTTTAAGAAGATAATAAAATTAAGAAGTTTCATGGTTCCTCCTTTATGTCAAAAATATCGGCTGTCGGTTTTGTATTTCAGATTAACTCTCTTAAGAAGAGATAAAGTGAAGATCGTGAATGATGGAAAGTCGGTTAGATGATCCAAATAATTAAACAAGTCATTAAAGGCCAATTTATATTTTTGATTGATTAACGATCGTACGAGTCTTCTTATTCGTTTTTCATGTTACATTAACATTTTGTTTTACAATTTGTTGTTAAAATGTTTCTAATTATTGATTTAATGAATATATAATATTTGATACTTTGATAATAAGGGTATTCACGATGTTTGTGTTAACCCTGTTAAGTCTGCTAGGTCCTGTTAGATCAAGAAAAATGATGACGCAGACTTGTAAGAATCGGCTTGTTAACATTGCTCGATCTAACAGGCCAGGGCCAATGTTAGATGTTAGGTCGAAAAGGTAGTCACATTGCAATCCGTTAGGGCGTTGGTAACTTAAATTAAATTTACTCTTTCATAATAAAAATATTCTCTTGTTTTATTCTCGAGGGGATAATCACTGGACCAACTTGTATATCGACACAGTCTTACGAAGTATCAATGGTTGCCGAAAATATGACAAGAACGTGCGCATTTTGATTTAGAACTTTTAGATATAACTTGAGGATGCATACTTCTTTCCCTTTCGTTGTTATTTCTA